ACAAAATATTGATTAAAAGGGAAAGTGACAAAGTTTTTTGGGACATCCCAAAAAGGAAAGAAGACAAAGTTTTAAGGAACGGGGGAGTATATGTTTCTGTGCATCGAAAGAGCAGAACCAATTTTAAGAAGTACAATCTTCGTCCCACTTATAATATTGAGACACAATGAGGTGACACAGTTATTAAGAAAAGTGTGATTATGTGATTGATATTAATTGATAAAGTAAGATTAAAATAAGAATGATCGAGAGGGACACAATCTTTACTGATCAATGAGACAATTTTAGTGCCCAAAAGGTAAAATGAAAGGTTACTGGAAAACAAATTGTAAGTGTGCAGAAAGGCTATGAAGCACAGATACTTCCCTAGGGTAGCGTATCTGTCACGCCCCGGACCTATCCGGACACGTCAACAATCCGCCGTACAGTACGAAAAGTCAACCACAATCCAACACATCCATACTATACAAGGCGTCTGGAATATCATTCACACATAGTACATCCATAAACAAACATAATGTAAAATATTCATTCAAAGAAGCGGAAACATTTGATACAAGTATTCATGCCACCCTTGGCAAACATGGGCATACAAGCCCCCAAATAATTATTCAAAAATATGATATCCATGAGCATTAATATAATTGTTTTTAAACAGAATTTGGAGGAAGCACGAACCACGTCTTCTCTCCTTGATCTTCCCGAAACAAGTGGGCGATGGCAGCAACCTTCAAGTTCTACCTGAAACTGTGAGGTGGCCTCCCCCGTGATGGGGAGGTCAGTACTTGGAAGCATTTGACAAGTACAATGACAACTATACTAAGTATAATCAAAGTTTAAATTTCCAAGACCCTCAATCTAGGGTGTTATTATATCATAGTTGATTTTATTCGTTTAGTGTAAATTCATCGTTACTTACCACGATCTAGAGCCCAACTCAATAATCACCGTTACCTACTACGGTCTAGAGCCCATCTCAATAATCACCGTCATCTACATCGGTCTAGAGCCCAGCTCAATAATCACCGATAACTACTACGGTCTAGAGCCCAGCTCAATAATCACCGTTATCTACATCGGTCTAGAGCCCAGCTCAATAATCACCGATAACTACTACGGTCTAGAGCCCAGCTCAATAATCACCGTTATCTACATCGGTCTAGAGCCCAGCTCAATAATCACCGATTCTTTACAATTCAATATCTTAGGATCCATTCATCCATTATTCAACTACAATTTCAACTAATATCTCAATACTAGTCATTTACTCATTTCAATATATTTCTTCATTCATGTGTAATTTGGCCTTAATATCACAATATCACTTTTATACTTTCATGGCTTCTTCTCATGAAATAAAAGTGCATACTTATCACAATTTGGATTCATGGTTAATCCAACTATCATGCCATCATATTCATAACATATACACATACACAATTTATTCTTAAATTTGTATATTATGCAAACTATACTTATAATCAATAGTAATTTCATTTAGGCATTATTAATCACTAATAATCCATGCAAATCACATTTTGTATTAATTTAGGAAATCTCAAGAAATTAACCCAAAGATTATAAGCAATATAGTCGGTCATTCTCACCTTAAGTGAGCTTACGCGCGTTCTACGCTTCCCGATTGAACTTTGACTAATCCCGGCGAACTTTGACCAACTCCGGCGAACTTTGACCAACTCCGGCGAAACTCCGGTGAAGCTCAAAAATACTTTAATCAAGTTCCTAACAAGGTTTTAACATCATAAAACCTTAATCAATACAAATAACCTCTAAAAGGTTATTTTCCGGTAAACCGGTCGTTTTGGCTCCTATGTCCGTTTTTGGACATAGAACCACCTTCCAACCCATTATTCCACACTCGTAACATGTAGAACAATCCCAGGGGTTCTTCATATGACATATAAATCATATGATAATTAAAGAATAGAGGAAAAGTTATTATAAGGTCCTTACCTTAATCCACCTAGTTTTTCCTCCCGAAAACCTTTCCCTTTGACCTCCTTGAGCTTGCTTGTCCTTGGCTATGGAAGGTGTTATTTTTTTTTCTGGGATTTCCTCCCTCTCTTGAGATTATGGCCGAATGATGAGGATGGAAGGAGGTGGGTGCCTTCTTTTGTCTCAATAGAATGAGTGGTGTGGGCAGGGGCGGATGCACTAAGGCCATAGGGGGGGCAGCTGCCCCCAATAGATTCCCACTAAATTCATATATTTTATTATAAATTATTAAGAGATCAACTTTTTGCCCCCAATTAAAAAATATTATTGCCCCCAATAATCTTCTTGCCCCAAGCGAAATGGCTAAATGTCAAAATGAGATTTCAGGACTCACCCACTACCCTCATTCCTCCGTATATATATGCGTTGGTTAATTAATGTTTTATATTAGTTTCTATAAAAATACTACTAATGTTGTTTCTATATGAATGTTAATAATTTATTTGAAATGTCATTTTATTGTAAATTCAAGTTTCAGCCACTTCAAAAGTACCAGAACCCTTTTATAGCTTGTCTTATGTAAAATTTCAGTTCATTATTCATATGTTATATATTCTTGGAAGGGTTCATGATTACTAAAAAGGTCATTTAGTAAATGTCATTTACTAACAATTGTAAGGGTTAGTAATATTTCTTTTAGATTGAATTCAAATGGCTAACTAACAAATGCCGTTTAGATACATTTTTCTTCAAGAAGCCACTATACATACAAATCCAAAATGTAAATACTATGTTATTCTAGAAAGTTAAATAAATAACTAATGATATATATGAAACATATGACTAAAATAAAGATGATGAGAAAACCTACATGACCTTGTATAAGATGACTAAAAAAGTAAATTTTAATTATTACGGAGTACTGTTTTATTCAATTTTACACTGAAGTGATCATGAAGCAATGTACCGAAGTACATAGTAACTCTAGACACATTTTTATCCATTAATTGCATTTGAGTAATATTCTAAGAAAAAAGTCTTAAATAGAACTATAACTAATCTCTTAAAAAAATGAAAACTCTGCTGAAAAAATGAAAACTTGGCAGGAACATTTGTAGAGCCCGTTTGGTAGAACGAAAATCGGCCGATTTGGTTAATTCTACTGAAATTTATAAAATCTGCCTGAAGTGACGGCATTGGCTGCTTTAATGTGGCTGATTTAAGAAAAAAATTTAAAATATATTTTATTAATAAAATAACGAAAAAATTATATGTAAAATAGATAAAATGGTCATCTACAGTAACTTCAGCCAATACATCCAGAAGAATAACTCCAACCTTACTTTTTTTGCTTATTACACAATTCCGCGCGCGAAAGTAAAAGTTACGTGTTTGGTAAAAAAAGTTGGCCAATAAGCCTGATATGTCGAAAAATAGTGTTGCCAAACGCCCTCATAATGTCTTTTGTTACACCTTTACTATTGTAATAATAATACGATAATCTTTAATTAATTCTTATTCTTCATAAGTATTTTAATACCCGATCTGCCCCCAATAAACTCTTTTCCTGGATCCACCACTGGGTGTGGGGAGAGGCCCACTTTATTTTTATTTGTTTGATTCCATTTCACTCATATCACACTCTCTCCCATGTTCCTTCATCACTTCAGCCGGCCAAACATCTAAATTTGGGTGACCAAATTCGTGGGTTGGCCCCCACACATGTGGGAGGTCAACTCTTTTTGTCCAGAAGTGTACAATCGGTCTCGAAAGTTGTATTTTTCGGACTGTTTTAAATATATTTTATTTTATCGGGTCAAATAAAATATATTATGTGTTCTTAATCATTATACCCTTTATAATGAATATACATTCCCCAACTTAAATTTATGAGTCTCCGAAATTTATTTTCGGGCTTTTATCGGTTAAATTATCAATACCGATATTTGGGCTTCTTTTGACCAATCGGTCAACTCTGGACCTTTCCATGGTTCAAATGAAGTAGCCACCACTATATAAATATTATCTTGACCAAGATAAATAAAATATATAGTTTCGGGAATTTCGGGCGGTCCCCGCTCCCGGTGTGGGCCGCACGTGCGAATTTACTAATCACACAAAAGAATTAATAAAAGTTCACAACTCCGTATACTTATTAACCATTCCACCAGGTTTAATACATTATTCACTTAAAAGTAAATACATTTGGGGACGGTGTTACAGTATCGGCGTATCCGATACGTTCCCGTATCCGATACTCTAGGATACCCGTACTGTACGTTCCCGGGCCGTATCTGCAATTTTTAAAAGTTTCCACTTTTTTTGTAATTTTTTGAAAGTTTCCGATACTCGTATCCTGACGGATACCCGTATCAACTTTTAAAAAAATCCCAAAATTTACTTAATAAAATTCTAAAAAAAAATGAAAATCTAAAACTACATTTTACTTGGTAATCAAATAATGGGCCTATATGGCTATATCCGAATTAAGTTATTAACTCATACTTCGAATTGGGTACCTGCACTTTTAATTTCAAGATTGTAGTTGTTTGACTTATTTCTATTTTTAAATTAATGACTTATTGATTACATTTATATTTCGAGATGCACTAGTGTATATGAGAAATATTATGAATTTATTATTAAGTATCTTGAGAAGGGAAAATGCTTCAATGCAATGAATGAGTAGACATCATAGGATATTATATGTATATATATATATTTTCAAAAAAAATCCATTTTTAATATTTATAAATTGACCCCTATAAATTTTAATATTTGTAAATACACCCCATAACTTTTAATATTTATAAATATGGCCCCGTATCCGTATCATACTTTTTTTTGATTTTGACGTATCCCCGTACCCGTTTCCGCGTTTCCGTGTACCGATATAGGTGCTACATAGCAGAAAGGTGGTAAGAAATTGTGATAGCCGGTGATCTGAGTGACATTAATTGAATTATTACTCCCAACCACGTACCTACCAGTCCGTGGCTCCATTATTACTGGTCGGCTCACACTCTCTTGTTCACACTTCACTTCCAAATTCCAAGGACCTACGTAAAACCCATCAAACGAGCCTTTCTTTCCATCTCCCCTGCCCTATAAAACCTCGCCATCGCCGGGCATCAACTCCATCAAACCCAAATCAAGCACTCCAAACAAACCCTCCTTCAGCTTTATTTGCCTCTAGTATTACTTACTTACAACAATATAATGGCGGTGTCAAAGTCTGAGATGGTCAAGTATTTCTGCGCCGCCGTGCTGTGCATGGTGGTGGTGGCCGCTCCCCATGCAGAGGCCGCCATTACTTGCGGTCAGGTGAGCCAAAAGTTGGCCCCTTGCCTCGCTTACTTGAAGTCGGGCACCGGGCTACCCACCGCGGGTTGCTGCGGAGGCGTTAAATCTCTGGCTGGTAGCGCTACCACTACCGCTGACCGGAAGACGGCTTGCGGTTGCCTGAAATCTCTCTCCAATAGCATCACAGGTCTGAATCTAGGCGCTGCCGCTGGTCTTCCCGGTAAATGCGGAGTCAACGTTCCTTACAAAATCAGCCCCAGCACCGATTGTAGCACGTACGTACCCTTCCCATTCAAATTAAATAATTTATAATTTAAATATTGCTAACACTTAAATAAATAAATTACTTTTTTACGTCATAAATTATTAAGATGAAGTTATTATTACTGTCGCTACGATTAAGGACGTCACATTTTTTGCAAATAATATTAATTTAGTCACATATATAATTAGTTTTTAAATTAAGCGTGTTTTCTTCCCAATTATTTAATTAGCCCTATTTCAAAAAATTTGTTTTGTTTTTACTCCTGATAATCAGGGGCGGACCCAGGAAGTTTGTCTTGAGAGGACGAAAATTATTTTTTATTATATATATACACTAAAAATTTTGTTGTTGGGGGGCGACCGCCCCCTGGGTCTGTACTACGGTCCGCCCCTGCTGATAATTAAGAGTTTTTTGGATCTACTTCCAGAGTTCCAGTAAATATTGGAGTGTAAGTGACATTGCTCCTAAGTCGATTGTAAAACGTTTTGAAATTCTAAAATATGACATTTTCATGTTTTTTATTTCCTGAAATTTGATAATCTAAATTTGATAGAAATTACTCCTATTTAGCGAACAAAAACATGAATATGCTGTTTTGGAATGTGTTTTACTCTATTTAAAGGATTGTACTCCATTAAGTAATTAACCAATTCTTCCGTCCAAAATAACTGCAAAACGGCACAAGGCTAAAATACCAGTTCTGTGATTTTATTATTCTCGGTCTACTTAATTTTTCTTTGTTCTGTGTTTTTTATTACTAAGCTTTTATTGTATTCGTTTCAATAAATAAATCTTTAGAATAGTTTCTATAGAGGCACTCTCTAATTACTGACCGACTCTGACTAGTTTAGATCAATGTATGTGATTGATTACGGATAACATGAAATATTTTTAAGTCATTGTTATGGTACATCTCATAAAAAATAAAGGTATTGTACTTGTCATATATTTACTTCGTATTTAATTTAATTTATTAGTCATTATTTTATCATTCACCAATGTTAAAATTATTCAATTAGTATAGTATAATATCTTTTTAATGGATTTTTTTATTTGTGTTTCTCTGCAGAGTTTCATAAATGCGATGTACTGGAAGCGTGAGAGGTGGATGATAAACCATGCATGCATACCATTGCCCATTCTGGAGTAGTTTGTTTGTATAGAAAAATAAAACGTCTGTGACGGAGGAATAAGATCTGAGGGCTCTTCTGTGATTCCTATTAGTTTAGGGGTCCGATTTGAAGGAGACTTTCTAGACCAGTTTTATGTTTGTGTTTTGTCGTTATTATTGTCCTTTTCATTGAATTTTGGGTATGCATGGCATGGGCTTGTCTAGGTAGTACTGTTTTGCATGTGTCACCATTGAATGTACTGCACTCGATTGGTAATTGATATAACATGTCTACCCCACGCCTTTCAATTCCAATGATCCATTTTCTTTTGCGTTTATTTTTGCATGATTTTCTCAATGAATATGAAGATTTGGAATATAATCCCTCCTCTCTTAATTAAGTTCCACATTGAGTTCCACATTGCTTTTTACACTTATTAAGGTGCTGTTCTGTTCGTCTTATTCTTATTACTTATTGCTTATTCTTATTTTATTCAGATCAGATCAGATCAGATCAGAAAAATTCAGATCAGATCAGATCAGATCAGAAAAATTCAGATCAGATCAGATCAGATCAGAAAGATTCAGATCAGATCAGATCAGATCAGAAAGATTCAGATCAGATCAGAAAGATTCAGATCAGATCAGACCAGATCAGAAATATTCAGATCAGATCAGAAACATTCAGATCAGATCAGAAAAGTTCAAACATGATTTATCACTTTTATTATTATATCAATTATTATTATTAATATTGTTATTACTATTATGATTATTATCATTATATAATTATTATTAATAATATTAATAATAATATGATAAAAAAAAAGATATTAATAATAGTTATAATATTTTAATATAATAATAGTAATATAAATGCAATTATCAAGAAGATTATTATTATTATTATTATTATTATTATTATTACAATTATATGATTAATATTATTATAATATATAATAGTAATATGATTAATATTATTATAATGTTTTATTATAATTATATGTAATTATAATTATAATTACAATTATAATTCTTATAATTATAAGTATAATCAATTGTAATTATTATAATTATATCTATAATTAATTATAATTATAATTGTAATTAATTATAATTATAATAATTTTAATTATAATTACAATCATAATTATAATTATGATTATAATTATAATATAATATTATAATAATATAATACTAATTATAATAATAATAATCATATTATTATTATTATATTATTGTAATAATAATATTAATATAATAATATCGTTATAATAATATTAATTGTATTTACATTACTATTATTATATTATAATATTATAATTAATGGTAATATAATTATAATTATTATTAATTATAATTATAATAATTATAATTATACTTATAATTATATTATAATTATAATTTATGATTATAATTATTATTTTTATAATAATAATAATAATTATTATTATTATTACTATTGTAATTATTTTACGGAGTAATTGTATAATATTGATAACTATAGTTACAATTATAGAGATAAATATTGTAATCATAATTAAAATTATAATTACATAAGTAATTATAATTAAAAATATAATTACAATTATAATTATATCTATATTTATAAGTAGTGTAATAGTTATAAATTTTTTCATTTTAAATTTAATTTTAATTATTATTATTATTATTATAATTATAATTTTATTTAAATTATATTTGTAATTGCAATTATCATAATTATAATTATAATTATAATTATAATTATAATTATAATTATAATTATAATCATAGAAATATTCAAATCAGATCAGAAAGATTCAGATCAGATCAGAAGGATTCAGATCAGATCAGAAACATTCAGATCAGATCAGACCAGATCAGAAACATTCAGATCAGATCAGAAAGATTCAGATCAGATCAGATCAGATCAGAAAGATTCAGATCAGATCAGATCAGATCAGAAAGATTCAGATCAGATCAGATCAGATCAGAAAAATTCAGATCAGATCAGATCAGAACTTAAAAAATTCAGATCAGAAACATTCAGATCAGACGAAGAGAACAGCTTCTAAGAGAGAAATTTACCAGGGTAAATTTTAGTGTTTGACATTGTTAAGATACTTTTTGGCACTATTTTGAACTGTTTGACATTGTTTGCCATTGTTGGGATGTAGTTAGTTTGCCAAATAAGAAAATGAGAACTTAATTCAGATACTACTAAAAAAGAATAGGATGAACTTAATTGGCGACAGAGGGAGTATATTCACCGACACACTGTTTGTATATGTAATTGTAGAATTGCAGAATTTGATCAATGATAAGAACGCGGAAGCAGTAATCGAATGAAGAAGATGAATGTAATGAAAACCGTGTATTGAATAGAGTTATAACTTTGTATTTATACAAAAGGGCTAAACAGGCTATTCTATTATAAAAAGGAGATGGACTAATATGACAAGCCCAATAATATAAAGTCCGGTCCTGTCTTTTATTCTTTAGAGTAAGAGTAAAATGCATGAACCGTCCTTGAACTATCACCATCATATCATTTTGGTCCTCGAACTATTAAATCTATCATTTTAGTCCTTAATTTATTCAATCTATATCAATTGAGCCCTTCCGTTAAAATTTGCCGTTAACTTTGACGGTAAGTAATTAATTTATTACTTACATACAATCATCTCATAATTTTAGACATTTTACAACAATACAATCATTCTTAAAATTTAAGTAGCTAATCTAGTTTTTAAATATGCATATATATATACACACATACACATATAAAAATTATAATTAATTAATTAATTAAATATATAATATAAAACCAAATGTATGACTTAAATTAAATTAGCCCTTCATCCCGCTAGATTGTCTCGTCTTCCCTTTTCGATCTGTCCCACTATAATGGTCTCATACCAATTTGGTATAATTTGTGTGCTTTTTTATTATTCCTTTTTATGGAGATGACGGCGGCGCATGGGGACGACCGCGGCGACGGAGAAAACGTGTGCCGCAGAGATTGGGGCAACGGGTGCCGCGGCGACGGGCTAATGACTATAGTTTTTAGAAAATGAGTAGAAGGCTAGGGTTTTATAATATCTATTGAAGGGCATATTATGGTAAAAAGAAATGTAAGGTCAAATTAGTCCATAAAAATAATTATTTATAAGATATTATGAATTTAAATACGGAGTATTATTTTGGGAAAAACTAGTGAGGGCATGTACTGAAAAAATGGATGAGTTTTAGTCATTAATTTTCTCTTAATATAATTAATAATAGTAACAACCATCCTCACTAGTAACAACTAGTGAGGGCTCAGTATGATTTACTCTACTTAGAAGGCTCTCAAAAACTTGATTTAGAAATCATGCTTCTGCCCATATTTATAGGCTTCTCCGGTTGATTGATCTCCTCCGTTGGTTGAGAGGAGTTAATCCTTGACGTAGGATGAGATGTACTTTCGTCTTCTTGTGTTGGAGCAGGTTAAAGGAGATTTCCTTTATCTTCTCAGAGCTGCGTAAGGATCACTTGCAAGATTATCTTCAAGATTCATTGTGTGCGTACTCATACCTTAGGCCCATGTATTATTCACCATTAAATGCTCTTGGCTTTGCCTTCAATCATACGCGTTTAGTGTATAGTGTATGCAGTGTTCTCCTTAGGACTTCACTAATATGTGACTTCAAATTTTTGTATCAAATAAATTTGTACTGGTAAGATTTTGAATATCCTATTAAGCTAAAAGAAAATTACCTTATTTCATTCTAAATTTCCAGTGCAATTTATTTGGTATAAAAAATTGTACATTTTATTTTGTCACTTTTGATCAGTTGATAGTGTACTTTTGTGACTGTTTAATTTATGTATCAAATAAAGTTATACTGGTAGGATTTAAATATCCTTTTAAGGTAAAAGAAAATTTACCTATTTGTATTTTTTTTTAATTTCCAGTATATATAGTTTTATTTGGTACAAAAATTGTACATTATTAATTTGTCACTTCTGAGTAGTTGATAGTGCACTCTTTTCTTTTTAGTACATCAATCAACTTTTGACATGGTCACTAAAATAGGAACTCGAATCATACAGGAGCTTAGTATAGTGGCATCATCAAAATCTATCAAAATTGGGTACTAACAAAAAGAAACAGTACAGGAGCAAAACGCCCTTACTGATGCAACAACGAACACAAAACGTCATCCTAATGTGAATGCAATGTCACTGCGATAGACAGACACAAAAGAACTAACCTGTAGTATCTGTTATTCAAGTCGACGCAGACAAATGGATGGATAGCCTTGAAGAGTGCTTAGATGGTTTGCTTCTGATACACATTCGAATTCGAATTAAGGATGGAATTAAGGCTACAACGGTGTTATTTGGGAAAGGATAGAGTAGTTAAGTGATGTGTAAAAGTTTAATCCATGTCAGCAATGGAACCCTCAATGTATGATGTCTACGTCAGCGCCAAATGAGCGAACAACGGGCTAACCGGGAGGCAGCCGGTTATGTAGACCTAATTGACAGGATTTTCATTCTTGGCGGGTTCAATTGAGGGTTTCCAAAGTACGAGGACTCCATTGACGGATCGCGCATAGTAGGAGGGCGCAATTGACAATTTTCCCTAATTTTATTTGCTCATATGCATATAATTGAGTTATTTGATTATCTATTATATACCACGTATTTTTTTTTTTAAGCCATACATTTGGTTTATAGTATTTATTTATTTATTTATAATTTTTATTTGTGTATGTGTATATATGTATATTTAAAAAATAGATCATCTACTTAAATTTTAAGAATAATTGCATGGTTCTAAAATATGTAAAATTATGAGATGTTAATAAAGTAGCTACCGTTAATGTTAACGGACAATTTTAACGGAAGGACTCGATTAATATGGATTAAATAGATTAAGGACTAAAATGATAGATTTAATAGTTCAAGGACCAAATTGATATGGCAATGATAGTTCAAGGACTATATGCATTTTACTCTTAGAGTAATTGGTGTGTTTCCTTCAAATCTGGATGAATGGATAAATGAGTTAACAATAAATTGGATTTTGATGAAACGTTGGTGGTTAACTAGGAACGCTCCATGGCACGAGCTTGAGATTGAGCAGCTAGCTGGTTCGTGCCTTGAATATGAGAAGCAGATTTATTAATGACTTAATGTCATTGTATAATCTCTCAACTTCGTTTGTGTAAGTGTTTGAGCAATGTAGGCTCTATTTGCAAACTCTATTTATAAGTGTTTTTGGCTTTTTTTTAAGAAAAAAACACTTATTTTTCCAAACACTACCAACTTTACTATCTCGGTTTTCGTGTAGAATCTACTTTTTACTTTTTCTATTACACAAAAAACACTTATTTTACCAAATACTACCAACTTTTACT